AATTTTCAAAATAAACTGAAAGAAATTTTTGGGCTGACAAAGGAAGAAAAAAACAAAAAAGTAACTCAGACCTCCTTTTGTTGTCGGCCTGGCTAACCCTGCCAGTAGCAACGTAATCACCACAACCATCACCAACTTTTTTGCTTTGAAGAAATTCACATAAATTTTGATGCCCCCTTTATTTCTCGCATTGATGACACGAAGCTTTTCAACGTCGCTGCACATTTCATCTAATGCAGCTAGCAAGTTACGCAAATCTTGTCTAGCGTACTAACCTCCCACACAGAGAACTGCCACTAGCTACAAAGGACTAGGCTCCACAGAATGACCTCACTGAATCCACGGCCGACTGCAGTAGTTGGCCTTATTTTACGTGCGCTGTAAAGACGCGGTTATGCAAAATGGTGCGAAGTGTGCTACGTGTATGCATCATTTTGCTTGCCCCGCCGCGGTGGTCTAGTGGCTAAGGTACTCGGCTACTGACCCGCAGGTCGCGGGTTCAAATCCCGGCTGCGGCGGCTGCATTTCCGATGGAGGCGGAAATGTTGTAGCACCGTGTGCTCAGATTTGGGTGCACGTTAAAGAACCCCAGGTGGTCAAAATTTCCGGAGCCCTCCACTACGGCGTCTCTCATAATCATATGGTGGTTTTGGGACGTTAAAACCCACGTATCAATCAATCAACATGGCTACAACTTCTACTGAATGATCGATACGTGAAAACCTACGCGTTGCTCTTGGGAAAGAACACTCGTAAATGCAAAGCTTGCTCATGGAATTGTGATTTTAAGCACTTTTGTGTTGGAAATACTTCCCTGTTGTGTATATATTTCTGCTACGTCTGCTGCCCAATTACCGATTACCTCCAAAATGCACAACACCATTACACATGCACGCCAGTACAAAAACGGCAACTGGCTCACGCACAAACACTAGCCCCTTATTATTACCGAGGCCTTGCGAGACACCAACTAGCTCGCACCCAGTTCCCTGCAGGTTCTTTTTTATTTGTTGCATTTTTACTTTTTTAAGCTTTGGCGTCACAACTGAAAAATTGCTCCGATGGGCGAGTAAGAAAGAATCGTAACGGTACTTAAGATCTTGACGTTCAGGGCATAGTAGCCCTTCCTGGACATGAAGCTCATCGTGTCGGCCAATCTTAATTCCTCTGGCTTGCGAATGGTGACCAACGTGCCATCGACACACGCCAGCACGCCTAGGATGCAACCGCGTTGCACAAACTCCGCATTTGCCTCATCCTTAGCTGCTGTTGTCAGTGGGAAGTCCGTTAGCTTTTTTCTAGCAGCCACGGTGATAATGGCCTGCGTCACCTCGTTGATAGTGTTGCTCACAGCCAGCTGAGACTTGCCGGTGTGCTCCTCGCGACCAACGCTCCTCTAGAAGCAACCGGTGGCGAAAAATTGCAGCGATCACAACACTTTCCTCTCTGTGGAAAGGCCACTGGCTTGCTGGCATTCGATGATAGGGTCAAGTTCATCGCACAAGCTACGCACTGTTCGTTCGCACAGACGATGCGATTGCCGGAACTCTTCTTCAGGGAAGTTTTTAAATGTATCTTTAACCTCGCTTCGTCGTCTCTGCTCGGCTGCAGCTGCCACACAGGCGAGACGAAAACCATGGCATTGGGATACGCCATGTTGTCTAAGTTCCTGAATGCTGAAAAGTCGCGAATCCCTTACATTTCAATTCAATCCATGCCACCTAGCAGCCATTTCAATTCATCCGGTTTCTTTCGGACGGTCTCTCCAACTGGGGCTCTTCAATTCTCGGATTCCTGGGTTGGTTCTGGTGACCCGCGAGCTCCCCGAAAGCTACCGCTGCATCCGGTTCCGATAGGAACTGACGTAAGCTGGCTACGTGCCCGCCTGGCGACAGCCCAAAGGTCGCAAAATCGAACGCAGGACAGCCAGCGTAAACGTAAACCAACTCTACCGTCATGGCGGCAAAGAAAACAACGCACCGCGCCTATGTTGATTTTTTTCTGCATTGTCCGCTTGCAAATACGTAGCTAAGCTCGCCAAAAAGCTGAAATAATATCCTCGAGAGTACACATTTGTGGTACGACTTCGTACGCTCGCACGATCACTCGCCGCGTCCGCCAACGAAGCAGCCAGCTGGCGCACGCTGCCTTGAGAACAATGCAAGGTGAGCTGCCGCAATGGTGACAGCTTGACAAGCTCACGTCTCATTTAGTACATGTATCAGTCACTGCACAACACGATACGAAGTCACACGAAAGTGATCGTGTCCCCAAAAGAGCGTGAATATATATGTATATACCTGCTCAGCTATCGCGTATCATATGGCGCAAACACACGTTGACCAACTTACGTTTTTGTCTGAAGTTCATAATATGCGCAGGCATCGGTACCACGAGTGCGCGTCGTATATAAAATAAACATTTGCATGACACGTTTTCGACCCATTTTTAGAACTGGCTTTGGCCTGTTTTTTCCGTCCTAAGAGGCGCTTAACGAATGTCATGTATATCAGCTTTGATTCGACCTACTAGGTCATAGTACGTACTCCACGGCATTATTACGAAGAGGTGAAAAAAGACAAAGCCAACGATGAAATGGGCCACGAAAGGATGTATACATTTCTGATTCTATTCTCCGTTTTTTTCTCGCGCCGTATCTTATAATATTATACCATATATTCTGGCTCTTAGATGGAAGTGGGTTCGCACGCCGTTCGCGACCAGCGAGCATCACCAACAGTCGTGATTTAGGGCCTTCTATCTTCATCGAAGATCAATCGTGAAGTCAGGACAGAGGTTCTAGGAGGTTCACGTGCACAAACTTACGACGGAGTAAGCTAGTTCGATCACAATCGTCTTCGCTAAGTGCACGGAAAGCAGGCACAGCTTCACAAACGATTACTACGAAAAAAAATTAAGTCCAAAGTTGTCTCCATGCGGGCGTACAAACGTGTACTGCGTACATATCTTTTAAGGCATGTGCACGACACAGTCAACAGGCAACAGTTCACCGCGTTGTTCACAGGAGGAAGCTCCGCGGGAACATAACAAATGCGATGAACAGTAGCTTAAAACACTCGCCGCCACTCGTAATCGCCTCATTTCGCAAGGCGGAACAGGCTTTAAAAGATAACGCCACACGTAATGACAAGCGAATGCGCAGTCCTCAAGCGCCCACATTACAACTCATCGAGCCCTCACAAAGATGGCACCGAGCACGCATCGTACCTTTTCGGCGTCTGCTAGCCCGAAACCTGCCCAAAACCTTCCAGAAAGCTTCCACGAGTAAATTGTCCTGGAAGCGTCTGTGGACCCTCGGGCTTCCCGCGGGTCGCCAGAACTTCCAACCCGAGAAAAACGAACACCAACCGGAAGTGCGCCGTGGGGGGGATGGAGCAGCCCGAGAAAAACGAGCGCGCTCTGGCTGGCTGTGGCAGCCCGCGGGTAGCCAAAAGTCGAAAATCGAAGAGCCCCACCGTTCCTTAACCTTCCTCTGAAAACCGAAAAAAAAAGTCACGTGACACCTCGACCACGTCACATAGAACGTTACAGCATTCGTGACGGCTTGAATGAGCCAATCACGTGCGACTCAATGGAACACACCGCCTCCGTCGGGATTTGGAATTTGTATATAATTGCACCACTGATAACTGATTGCCTGATACACTCTCCTCCCCCCTTCCTCTTCAATTATGGCGCTCGACCAAAATTAAGGTAATCAATCATTGAGCCAGGTTGATACACCGTAAAGTAAAATTATACATAACTTTGACATATATAATATAACGACTGTTTGAAAAAACAATTATAGTTGAGTTTTCAGTTCGGATTATTTTTTGCCCCTCCTCAACTAGTCGGAACTTCAGTCGTCAGCGGGCGTTGATGCCTGTGGCAATATGTTTTCGACATCTTCCGTTCCAACTTCCGCGACCCATGTCGTTTTACCATGGAACGCCCATGAATTTAGTATATTCGATGGGCTATTATTGCGGATACTACAGTCACTTCCTCCATTTTTTGTAGGTGATGCATGAAGGTTGTCTTGCAAGGCTCGAACTTTGTCTCCGTACTTTTTTTAGACTAAAATTTCCTACCGCGCTTATCGCCGCTCTCAGTGCACAGTTATTATCGCATGAAGTCTGACTTGGCATTTCTCGGGCACAGGTTCACACAAGTAAAATTTTTGTTGTCTTAAACACGCCAAGTGCTATCTTGTGCCATGTCATGACCACGTGAAAATGTCTTACGAGCATGCCTGATTGTTTTGACATGTGGGTGCTCTACTGCAGCGTGACACGCCCTCATAAGCAGCACACAACTTGTTCCACGTCAGTGGTGTCTTCCTTAAAAAAAATAGGTGCTTACCCAGTTCGCACAGGCTCGTACATGACTATGGCTCAGACAGTGACACCAAGACAATACTTGGCAATGTTGGGCGGGAGCAGTCAAGTGATCGAAGACAATGAAAGGTGAGCTTCGGTGAAATATTTGCATTGATTCACATGGCCTTAAAACACGCCATGGCCTCAAGAATACTGACGCCAAAGTACTTTATTATTTACACATAAGAGTCCAGCGTTTAAAGAAGTGTTTAAAAAAGTGAAGTGTTGGCAGAGCTGGAGACTAAACGACTTGTACAACACGCGCTTTTGTTTGTAAGGGCAAGAAACTAGGTGATGCGGATGCTTTCGATGTCTTTCACTTTCCAGTCATATTAGGCGTCTTTACACTGCTCTGATATTCTATATGAAGATTAAAGAAAGGTAATCTACCATTAGAATTGTAATAAGAGTATAAAACGCAACTGGGAGGACGCCTGAAGATCAGCTTCAAGAGTAGAAGACTATGAGCAATCGCTCCCCGTGCCCATCACTTTGAACCAGGCGGCAAAGAAAGGCTCATTTCAGGTGCTTGTAATTGGCTGTTTGAACTATCCTAGAACGTTGCGTGCAACGAAAAACATTTTTAATCAGCCCGCCTTTTTTATTTTTACCTCGCAGCATTCCTAGAGTCAGCGGAGAATCTTCGAGCCTCCAGCTAAAAGAAGAAACCATGGCCGCCGACCCAGATTTCGAGTGTCCTACTTGCAACTTCACTTTGTCCAGCACGGTGAACCTCCAAAAACACATCAAGGACCATGAGGGCGGGAGACGGCATCTATGCCACGAATGTGGTGTACTGTGTCGGAATAGTTATCATTTAAAGAAACACTCTCTCGAACACACTGGCGAGAGGCTATATCAGTGCGATGTGTGCGGCAAAACGTTTATCGTGAAGGCAACCATGGAAAGACACAAGACGACGCACACGGACGAAAGGCCTTTTGAGTGCTCTCTCTGTGCAGCTACGTACAAGAGGCGAGATCAGCTGGTCCGACATTTAAAAAAGCAACACACAGAAACTGGTGAACCTGGCGCCACCGTGTCACAAATGTTCCCGAGAAGGAAGAAGAAAAGTTGCTTTCCGTTACAGCGCTTGCTTTTTCGACGGAAACGCGGGCAATCCAGCTAGCTATGTACTTGCAACGTGATAAACCTCGTTTAACTGAAATGCTTCTGGCTGCAGCTGGAAGAAGACAGAAAATTTTTACGTCAATCTCCAGACAAGGCACGCATATTCACTTTTGGCACTTTTCTTGCGAAGTGTGCAATAGTGTCATTGTTCTATTGTTTATATAATGAGCACGCTATGTATCTTTTATTTTGAATAATTGACGAGACACAATTGCTGTCATAAAAACGTTCACCCATTTACATTGAAGTACTGATTTTTAATAAATATCTCCGCGGATATTTAAGACTAGTGGTAGCTTGTGCAAAAAGATGCGATTTTCACAATTCAGGTTGTCGATTGCCGCCACATTGGTTAAATTGCATTTCAACTGCATCAAGATGCATGTGCCCTTGCTCTTTTTTGGGGGGAGGGGGGTTAACGTCCCAAAACCACCATATGAAGATTTTTTGCCTTTCTTGTGTATTCGCATGGCGAAAGATGCTAAGTAGACGTACTTCACGTTGAGTGTTGTAAACATAGTTTGTTAATAGCGTACATAGAAATATCTGTCATTAGTGTCAATGAGAGCGCCCAGGCATAACGCCTCAGCAATCATGAGAATGATGCGTAGGAAGATAGATTCACAAGGCTTCGTGAATCTATCTTGTAGCCTGTAGTCGCAAGACAAAGTTTATAAAGTGTTCAGCAGTCTCACTTGACCACTCTCACCTTGAGAGTGCACTGTAATGTTCTGTAAGGTTTCACATTTCTTATCGTGGACATTTTAGGCCAATTAGAAAAGCCACAGAAACTCTTCAAGGCTACTCGAAGTTAACCAATGGCGAAATCGCTCAATTTTAAAAACAGTATTTTTTCAGGGTGACCTCTTCACGAGCTTCAGATTGAACCGATCTTCTGTGCGAAATGAAAGCCAAAACACATCAATTAACAAGTCTAAAAGTTGGATCAAAGCCACAAGAGCTAGGCAAATCTATGTAAAGCTCATTGTTCTCGTGGTATCTGAACTATCACAGCGCCACACTTCCCTCTAATGAATATAGCCGGAAACTATCACTACAGAGCACGCTAAACGCACATGTACTCTGCTGTGCCTTAGTACGATGTGATCTAAGTTGAGATGATGAGAGGCTACGGGTCCGCGCGGACACACCTTCGTGCTTAAGCGCCCTATCTTCTCCATCCATTCCATCCTGTTTCGTTTCGTGCTACAAAACATTCTTAATTCAAAGTTGTTTTGATATCCCCGAGTACCGATAGGGGACTACAGATAATAGGGAAGAAGTTCTATAGGAAATTATTAGCGAAAATGTTTAAACTTCCGGAACCCTTTGATCACTGCGGCGTTCCTCCTAATCACATCCTCGTTCAGTCACCTAACACCCCAACTATTGAGTGTCATTGGTGGCAGCGTATGCAAGAATCACTATGACATGTTACAAAACGTTGTTTCGTTGCGTGCGATTCTAACACGTCACGTTGTGTCTGCCAGTGGTTTTCTTCATTTGTCTTTTCAATTCTCTAATGTGCAAGTGCAGAACTTGGGTACAATCTACTCCTACGTCAAATTTTCATTGGGAATGTATAAGTAAAGCAAGCCTTTTAGCATTTTGTCCGCCTTCGAATATCAAGGCACGGCATGGAGGCGGAAATGTTGTAGGCCCGTGTACTCAGATTTGGGTGCACGTTAAAAACACCAGGTGGTCGAAATTTCCGGAGCCCTCCACTACGGCGTCTCTCATATTCAAATGGTGGTTTTGGGACGTTAAACAGCACAAATCGAATTATCTAGGCACGGTGGTGCAGATCTAACCCTTCATCAAAAGCTACAACCATGCTGCGTCATAATCACTACGTTACCACGACGTATGCAACGGTGACGAAGGGTGCATGCGCTCTCCAGTCGTAATCGGTCGCGCGTACGTCGTAACGTAATGAGGCTACAGTCACACAAAGTGGAAAAACAATAGTGATAGTTGTGAGCCGAATGGTAGCCGATAGCGGAGTTTATATCACGCTAGATCAATATGAGACGCCGTCGCTGTCGGCGATTTTCTCATTGGTGGTCGCTTAGGCCAAACAAAAATGCGCGCGAAGTTTTTTTTTTTTTTTACATTCTAGCGATGCTAATGAAGTTTCACTACCAACCAAGCGAGCGGCGATGCCAGGCCGACTGGCAACGGGAGAACCCCTGCCTTGGGAGCACGCCCTGATAGTGTCAGCACAACTCACCATTTTGAGTGGGAACTACACCTTTTGTGCCTCTAGGACGAGTAAGTCTTCCATGATTACGCGTGCTGACGGATGATTTGTATTATATAACAGTTGTCGTCGGAAGTGTTACGCGTATACCTTTCATTTTAGAGGTGAATGGCATGGCTTATTGTCGAGTGTTACAAGCTATGAGGAGCAGCCGATACACGTGCCCGGTATGATTTGTGACCTAATTGGGCGCAGAAAACATGAGGCCACTAACGACAAATGTCGTAGAAGCACACGGGACCTAACTTGACTTCTCTGTCCTTGCAATTGACGATGCTTTATTTTTACGAATGCGTGATTGTCGCCTTTGATTTGTGTGGGGTCTTTATGCAGTCACTTTACTAGCGGCGGTGCCTGTCTTTCGTCAGCATCCTGTTACGTTTGTATCCTAAATCATTTCACCTAAAGTTTTGCATGAGAGACATTGTCTAATAAGTGGAAATTATCACTGTTTCCCACCCAACTTTGATTCTGTGTAAGTTTGCATCGGTGTCTTCAGTGCATTCGCTTACTTCAAATAAAAATGCGTGCGTGCATTTGTCTTCATGAAAACAATTTTCTAAGCTTTTTATTACGGCGTCCCTCATAATCGTACCATAATATTCAGGCGTAAAACAACGGAAATGGTTTTATGCCTTGGCGATAGCGCTAAACTAGCAATGCCTTTATCGTACGCCTGAATTGCCTCGCGGTATTGTGCACAGCTTAACACTTTTTTGTACCCGTAACAAAATCCCACAATATAAAGACATTTATATATCCAGACGTGACCTCTACAAAAAGGAACGGGTGATTTATTGGGCGAATATCCACGTTCACGTGCCGTGTTCTCGGGAGGCAAGGTGTGGGATGAAAGAGAAGCTGTGCCGTTACTTCTGGTGTCCTCGACTTGTGTGGTGAGCCAAGTGAATAATCTGACGCGAAGAAAGGCACCTCGCCTGTTTTCACCCGCCTGAGTGGCTAACTTTTTATGGCGCTTGACTGCTTATCCGGAGGTCCCGGGGTCAAATCCCGGCCGCGTATATTGAGATTATAGTAGATACAGGGCTAGTAACCGCGCTGCACGCGGATTGGCTGCTTCAGCACAAGACGCTGTGATGTCATACCATGACAACGCGAGGTGAACGACAACTCGACCGCACCGTGGTTTCGTACTTCGTACTCCTTTTTTTCGCTTGCTCGTTGTGTCAGCTTTGTGACTGGTGCTGTGGCGCAACATCGTAGGGCAGCAGCGCTGCTTGGTGTCGTATCCACCAGTGTTTCGTGTAATGCGTGCGCGCTGCGTACCCTTAGGTGTACACACGTAAATATTACGCCGAATTGACACCATGTGCGAGGTCATCACGTGCGCGCCGGCACGTGATGACCTCGCACATGGTGTCGTTTTGGCGTATGCTTCGCTCGCGCCTATAGCGATTGTGGGAAATGAAAGATGAACTCTTCGTGGCCGTAGAAGAAGGAAGTTTGCGTCAGACAGAGCGGTGAAGATTGTGAACCACCGATTGTAGACCCAGTCCACCGGTATGTTGCCTGGTCCCAAGGGTACATGAAAGTGTGTTATAATTGGAATGGCAATAAGAAAAAACATGAATGCAACTGGAAATCTGTGTGGACAGCGAATGGCAAGATTTTGCAGCTGAAAGCGGCAGAGCGAGCTTTCAGCTGTAATTCAGATTCATGATGAAAGTTCTTTATCTAAGATAACTTCTAGTTCGTAAAGGCTCACTGTTGGTCCAAGAAAGATGGAATACCATGAGCTCGTATTGCCTCATTTGCTTAGTGCTTAAAACAGATTCCATTCGACTGTGTTGCATTTCAATGCTCGATCTGCAGAGTTTAAGAGGGACGTCATACGTTACCTTCTCAATGATTTCCACTTCAAGTTTCAAGTCATCATTATGACTGAAACATGGTATGATGGCGCAAGCTGCCGGCAGAAGTTTAATGGATATGAGGCATTTTTCCTTGACCGTCGTAACAGGCGTGGTGGAGGCGTTGCTATTCACGTATACGGTCGCTGGAAGTATAATTTGGTATCGGATTTCTGTGTCACGTGTGAGGACTACGAAGTATTAGCACTCAGGCACAATTCAGACATGATAGCTCCTGTGTATCGTCCTCCAGGGGGCAATATTTTGAGCTTTCAAAGCTTTTTTGATAAATTTCTGCATTACGTATCGTCCAATCATTTTACACTGGTATGTGGTGGCGATTTCAATATCGATATCTTGAATGATAACCCTATTACCACGGATTTTTTGAACATGCTTCAATGTGCCGGATTTAGGAATGTCATTTCCACAGCAACACGTGTTACACCATTATCTGTCTCGTGCCTTGACTTATTAATAACGATATCGAAGCCAGTGTATTTCAGTGTGGAACAGTTTTATCAGATATAAGTGATCATTGCTCGGTATTTATGTGTTATTTCCACAAGCCGAATATTAAGGAGATGTATCGTGAACCGTACACAATGCAAACTGTAATAAACCACAGTTTGGAATCTTTTAAGAAGAATATTAGTGAACGTGATTGGTCTTTTCTTTTCAACTTAACTTCTGCAGACGAAGCCTATCAAAAATTTCTTGCTGTCTTTGTACATATATACGTAAAACACTTCCAATTCAAGCAAGCTAAACTATCGAAAAAATACGTAAACCATGGGTGACCCCCTCTCTTGCTAGTATGATACAACTTAAGAATAAATAAACTTTACAACTTAATCTTGAAATCAAGAGTGCTGACAGATTTGACAGAGTTTAAAAAAACACGTAACAAGCTGAATCGGGAGCTTAAGGGAGCTAAGGTAACTTACTACGAGAAAATGTTTGCTGAAAGCGCCCAGCAATCACCTGACGTTGTTTGGCGCTTCATTAATGATGTGCTTGGTCGCGGTAAGCGGGACTCCGCACCAACTAAGATTACTGTTGACAATGTCGAGCTCGCTGGTAAAGAACTTGCGGATCACTTGAATAATGATTTTGTCCATGTGGGTGTATCAGCAAACGTGCCTTTG